GAAAAGAAAGCCATCTTCTTCATTTCATTGCTTCCAAGTCACATGACTTGTAACGAGGATTTCTGTAAAGATTATCTGGTGTTGAAACCAGAAGAAGCTAGTCTCTTTGATCTCATTCGTATCCTCTATTCATGTGAACTAGAAAAAAGAAATTTTTTCGATAGCCCTGGAACGGACAGGCTGAGTGATCAAGGATGGCGAAGGCTCGTGTTCATCTCCGTTGTTGTGCAGAAACTCCTCCTTCACTTGAAGAAGCCTATGGCTTGGATGGGGTCTATGCTCGAGCTATGGCTAAATCTTCCGTCGTGCAATGGTGGCTACCACCAGCTTTTGGTAAATGTCCTACAAGGTGTGGTTTCCTTCCTATAAGCTTTGAACCATTTTATTCTTGCATACTTCTTAATTTTTCCTTTATAATGCTAGCAAGCATGGATTTTTCTATAGTTATATATGTTGGTCCATGTATATTTGGTCCATGAACTTATATATATATATATATGAATTCAAATTATAAAGTAATTTTATGTACACTATGTAATTATAAATTGAACAAATATAGCATCCGTTAGTTCCGAAGAAGCTACCACGAAAATAACATACAGAAAAAGAAGAAACAATTTAAAATTCAAACAACAACCATNTATGTACACTATGTAATTATAAATTGAACAAATATAGCATCCGTTAGTTCCGAAGAAACTACCACGAAAATAACATACAGAAAAAGAAGAAACAATTTAAAATTCAAACAACAACTATTGTAGCGTTCAGTATTCAAAAATAAAATTATAAAAAAAAATTCATAAAACACAAAAATATTAAATTTGACAAATAATAATTTGAAAGATGAAAAGTTAACAAAAAAAGTGACAACTCAACACAAATAAGTAAAAACGAATATGAAAAGTGGGAAAAAAAAAACGTGAAACTAACAAATAGTTTATGGAACGAACAAGATAAAAAAAATGAAAGAAAACATAAGTTCAACTTGATAATATATGAACATTATAGAAGAAGATATATGATATATTTGAGTTTTTTGTGTTCGTTGGAGAATAATAAAAATGATAGGTCTGAGCTTTTCTGAACATTAATGATTGACAATTTGGAGAAGAAAAAAAGATAGATGTTTACTGGCAACGATAATAACAAAAAAATTTAAAATTCAAAATAGCAAAAATATACACAATCAACGTTATATGCAAATCTTATGATAATATAATTATTTCATTATATTAGGTAATCTTTAGTACAATAAAATAAAATAAAAAATCTAATTAACTATCAAAAAAAAATATGCATGATTTAATAGATGACAAATATGTCAAAAGAAAATCTCTCAAAGTCAAATTATATACTTAGACACAATTAAATTCTAAAAAATAAATACTTAGTAATCTAACATTAAGAGATTATATATTTTTTGACAATAAGTCTAATTTCCTATATTTTCTTACAATTTTTCCTATTTTGTTTGATTGTGCTCTTTTTAGAGCATGCTCGTGGGGCCCTTGCCAAGGACGGAACCAAATGGGGCCTAGGGGGCCCCTTAAAATTTTTGAAAGTATCTTCTACTCCTTTAAGTTTCAAAAAGCTTAATATTTTTCCTAAAATTTTCATAATTTTTTTTTGTATATGTATGGTATTCAAATAAGCTAAATGGTCTTTAATAACCAAATGATTAATGCTAATTACATGAATGCGTGCTTCTTTTACAAACAAAGATATTTGCTAAAATCACTTTGATGGCCAAAAAAATAGAAAGAAAGTTGTTTGTATGATAAACAATATACTAACGGTTCATTTGTCAAAAGTATCGTATAACTAAACTAGTATTTAAGATGATAATTTATTCGTAATCACTACATCATGTCATAAATAAAATAAATAGACCTTAACATTGTCACATATTAATTTTTATGATTGTAAGTACAAATATATTTTTAAATATTATGATTCAAACTAATTTTCATAAGATATAGTACAACAATTGATTTTGATAAGTTTTATACAACTAACAACTTGATATTAACAATACCATAACGATTGGCGTCATGAATAAAATTTTTGACTGTATCATTGTTTCTATTTGCCCTCCTCGTATTAAAATTCTGATTCCGTCCCCGCCTATTGAGTATGTCGCCTAAGTTGGGCATATTTGATGGGCCTAACCCACGAGCCACATGTGGTCGGCCCAATAAGGCCAGCCTATTGAGCCGAGTGGACCAAAAATTTGGCACATGCTCCTATCTGTTGTAATCTCAATGTTAGGTTTGTATCGATTCTTAATAACATCATGTTAAAAAATATTTTATCTATACTCGATTCATTTATTAATTTATTTTTAATGAATTATGTTATATTATATTTGTGTCATGTATGAATTATATACAATTAATATATAAACGAGTCATAATATGTATTTCTTTCGATTAACTTTATTCACACATGATTTGTTTATTAATAGTTTTGTGTCGAATCTGCCGGTTTTCTAAACGAGGGGCTTAAGAAAGATTTAAATCTTATAATTTTGTGTTAAATTCGTAGTGTGCTAATAAACCGTGTCATATTTTGACAACNTTTCTAAACGAGGGGCTTAAGAAAGATTTAAATCTTATAATTTTGTGTTAAATTCGTGGTGTGCTAATAATAAACCGTGTCATATTTTGACAACCGTGAATACTGCATTTTGGGTCCAACTTGTGGGCCACGGGCTTCGTACCGAGACTGACACACATTGATAACTATATATATAGTTGGTGGATGTGCTCTTCAATTGCACCACTTAAAGCGGATGTGTGGGATTATATTGTTTGCAGGAGAGGTAGTGAAACCAGACAAGTCTTCAGCAACATACAGCTCAGTGGTTGGAAATATTGATACCCGAATCGAATTAGACCGGGGCATAAAAAAGGGCGACAGAAGATACAATCCATCGCTGACTATGATGGCCGCTAAATTGTCCTACAAAAATGAAGCCTTTGTCCAAACTGTAGTCTCCGATCACTGGAAGGTAATTATCAGCCATTCCTCTTTATTAGGAATTTTCTTAGCCAAGTATCAAAAAGATTCTTTTGTTTCATTTGACGATGGTGATTGTTTCCTTTTTCTTTTCTGTAGATGGAGTTCTTAAAGTTTTACAATTTTTGGAACGGTAAGAGGCAATGACTGCAATAAGCGTAATTTCTATCGTTTTCCTTTGCATAGCAATATAATGAACACAAGAATGTCATAGTTGGTGGTGTTCGGAGCATGAAATTTTACAGTGCAAGTCAAATACACTGAGATTTAAAACCGATAAATTCATTCAACCAAAGTGGGTTTTTTGGAGTGATTTTATTTTCATATTTTCTTCACCCTTTCCATTTTCCAGTTAAGTACAAACCATACAGCTACTAAGGAATCCAATGATTTTACAGCTTACGAGGAGCAATACTCAACACAAGCTATCATGTTCCAAGACACAGGTGCAGACTCTGACCTGATTGTGGTCGCATTCAGGGGCACCCAACCATTCAATGCAGATGCCTGGCGCACAGACATTGACATTTCCTGGTACGAGCTTGAAGGCATGGGTAAGAACCACGCTGGTTTCATGAAAGCACTGGGCTTGCAGAAGATCAATGGCTGGCCAAAGGAAATCCAGCAAGGCCCCGACGAGCCCGCATTCGCTTACTACACAATCAGAGAAAAACTCAGAGAAATATTGAAGAAGAACCAGAGAGTTAAGTTTGTTGTTACGGGACACAGCTTAGGAGGGGCACTGGCAGTACTGTTCGCAGCTGTGTTGGCACTGCATGAGGAGGAATGGTTGTTGGAGAGGTTGGAAGGGGTGTACACTTTTGGGCAACCTAGGGTTGGGGACGAAAATTTTGGGGAGTTCATGAAGGAGAAGATGAGAGTTTATGATGTGAGGTACTTTAGGTATGTTTATTGCAATGATCTGGTTCCTAGGTTGCCCTATGATGACAACAATAAGTTGTATAAGCACTTTGGCTCTTGCTTGTACTACAATAGCTGCTACAGAGGGAAGGTAAGTGATCTCTCTCTCTCTCTCTCTCTCTCTCTCTCTCTCTCTCTCTCTCTCTCTCTCTCTCTCTCTCATCGGGTTTCAATTTTATGACTATTGCATTTTATCAAATCCAGATTTTAGGGGAGGAGCCGAACAAGAACTACTTTTTACTGTGGTGGGTTATACCCAGGATCTTAAATGCCATTTGGGAGCTGATTAGGAGTTTCATTATCCCATACACCAAGGGTCCCGATTATAAAGAAGGCGGGTTTTGCAGAATTTTCAGGGTGATTGGGTTGGTGATTCCAGGATTATCAGCACATATGCCGGAAGATTATGTTAATTTAACCCGATTGGGATCCATCTCTTCATCAACAAATNATACCCAGGATCTTAAATGCCATTTGGGAGCTGATTAGGAGTTTCATTATCCCATACACCAAGGGTCCCGATTATAAAGAAGGCGGGTTTTGCAGAATTTTCAGGGTGATTGGGTTGGTGATTCCAGGATTATCAGCTCATATGCCGGAAGATTATGTTAATTTAACCCGATTGGGATCCATCCCTTCATCAACAAAGTCATAAACATGACTGAAGGGACAGTCTAGATCCATTTATTTGTACAATACCTCTGTTTAGTACGTCTAGCAATTTGATCATTTTATCAGGGGATTTTTACGGAACAATCAGTTCATTGTTTTATGAAATAAACGAAAGTCTTGTTAATTGAGTACAACTTTTTAATTAAAGTAGAAGTTGACTCTCGTCACTTAAAAATCATTATTGGTCAGAATGTTAAACAAAGAATCTCAGGAATACTGCACTCTGGATCTCATGNGTACGTCTAGCAATTTGATCATTTTATCAGGGGATTTTTACGGAACAATCAGTTCATTGTTTTATAAAATAAACGAAAGTCTTGTTAATTGAGTACAACTTTTTAATTAAAGTAGAAGTTGACTCTCGTCACTTAAAAACCATTATTGGTCAGAATGTTAAACAAAGAATCTCAGGAATACTGCACTCTGGATCTCATGTATCATCTGATTTTTTTTGGTGGGATACTGGGGCTTGATCCTGCCCCAGAACTGAGTTGACACCAGTTTTTAGTGTCAAAATAGTTCTGGCATTGTGCTGTACATCCACCATTCACCTTTGTCTAACACATTAGTCTACCAGATTTCTATGCACTGTCCAGATTTTGCATTTGAAAAACAAAAATGAACTCGGAATTTTTGGACATGACACACTGACACTGCACACGAAAATTACCTTACAATCGAAGCTGATTACACTGAAGAAAAAGATAGCTGGATGCAAACTAAAATGCATGGCAGGTAAAGCAGCCACTCAAGGAACGCATCTGGCGAATTCTGTGGAGAGTTATGGCCTTGTGAGAGGTTCTAGCAACTTGATGGTCCTGGTTGGCTAATGTTGAGCTCCTCATTTCATGGGCTTTCTTCTGTGCTGATCTCAGTTTGTTCGTAATCTTATCCATGGACGAGGATCTCTTCTTTTCCAGTTTCATCTGAAGCACACATTTTACTATAGTATGGTCATACTAACAAATGCAAAATGCTCCAACATGATTGATTCCTAGTCCTGATAAATATCCGAACTAAGGTACCTCATGCATTTAAGACATTTTTCATCAGCACTGATTTCATAAGCATAACTTTGGCTAGAAGTAGATTGATGGAGCTTATAGAAGATCATGTTTCAGCAATACTAAATGCTCCAACTGGATTAATTCCTGTCTAGGCTAGTTTAGTTTTGTTTCCAGAAATAGACAAACATATGTTAACTTGTAATACTGCAATGAAAACATGGATCCGTCCATAAGGGTTGAGCCTTGCGAACTTTGGAACTGAAAATTTTAAATTATGCAATCAAAAATTAACCTCTAGTTTCCGTATCGCTGCCTCAGCTTTTGCCTTCTGCAGGTTCTCCCATGCAGCAATTTTGGCTTCCTCCCTCTTAATCCTGAAATAAATATCGATAAATCCATAGGAAGAAAAACAACACTAAAATACTATGCATTTTGTAATTCTTTATTTAGATTTTAAGAGACTAACTAGGTTTTTGATATTTGTGAAACCACCAGTGGTGAAACTATGTTATCTGGTTAATTTATCATAGAATATTGGATGTGGTCATGACAGTTTAAAAGGGGGGGAAAGAAGACAGGATTCATCAAAATCCCAGAAATGGAAACAAACTCCCTGTATAAATCAATGACTCATAATATCTTACAAATTAGAATAGATAATTTTCCTTGCAAAATTTAATTAAGTTGAAACAAAAGAGAACTTCTACTTTGTAGAGACATGATGATTCGGGATTCCAAATACATCAGACAAATTGCTAATGATTAACTCAGATAACCACAAGGTTCGATGTTGCAAGTTACCAAAACAAAACAAGAAATATCTAGTTATTATTAAGTTTCTACAACNCTTCTACTTTGTAGAGACATGATGATTCGGGATTCCAAATACATCAGACAAATTGCTAATGATTAACTCAGATAACCACAAGGTTCGATGTTGCAAGTTACCAAAACAAAACAAGAAATATCTAGTTATTATTCCGTAGTGACATAAGTTTCTACAATNATGATGATTCGGGATTCCAAATACATCAGACAAATTGCTAATGATTAACTCAGATAACCACAAGGTTCGATGTTGCAAGTTACCAAAACAAAACAAGAAATATCTAGTTATTATTAAGTTTCTACAACTCTGACTACAGAGCCTCGTGACCTATTAGTTAACTAAATTTGGCATATATCAAGACTACCTGTAAGGTAATCTCATTGCATTCAATTGACGTAGAAATCTATTTGGTTGTTTTCACCATTTGTTCTAGGTGAATAACCTCAATTGCTTGCATTTTTGCCTCTTTCATTTTCTCTTCTAGTTAGTGCCTCATTAATTATATTGCAGTGGTCCAATCATTTTAGAGCTTCCATGCATCATATTCACTCTTGNCATTCAATTGACGTAGAAATCTATTTGGTTGTTTTCACCATTTGTTCTAGGTGAATAACCTCAATTGCTTGCATTTTTGCCTCTTTCATTTTCTCTTCTAGTTAGTGCCTCATTTCCATGCATCATATTCACTCTTANCTCAATTGCTTGCATTTTTGCCTCTTTCATTTTCTCTTCTAGTTAGTGCCTCATTAATTATATTGCAGTGGTCCAATCATTTTAGAGCTTCCATGCATCATATTCACTCTTGAACTAAATCTCAAAAAGTAATGCAAAATAGGAAAACATAAGTTGACCATAATAGCAAAGTGCATGTACTTGGAAATGCTGTGTGCTGATGCTGCAACTTCCCAACCAGATGATTGAACATCAATGGCTTTCCTCTTCCACGCATCAACATTTTCAGAGCATTTCCCTGGAATTTGAGATCTATGTTTCTTAGACCACCTAGTCATAGTGACCCGTTCATCGACCTGCACATCTCTGACTTCTTGTTTAGAGGAATTAACACTCTGCATCTCCCCAATGGGTAGTATAGATGGACTAGGCGAGAAAGAGAGCCGTCCCCTGTAAGATGACACAGGGCTACCCTCAGGGCTCATCTGGGTTGCCATATCCCTTCTCGAAACAGCACGAGCAATGCTGGCGGCTGCATCTTTAACTTCATGAAGGCTCTCATCTGTACATTTAATCCAATGACAATAAGCCACAATTAGACATGGAAAATGAACAATAGATTTTGCAATTCACATATTACCATTCACATCTTTAAAANCTGGCGGCTGCATCTTTAACTTCATGAAGGCTCTCATCTGTACATTTAATCCAATGATAATAAGCCACAATTAGACATGGAAAATGAACAATAGATTTTGCAATTCACATATTACCATTCACATCTTTAAAGTGCCAGTCTAAACAAGCAAAACAAACAGAAGCTGGTATATTGCTCTTTACTCACATGACAAGACTAGAAGTATAAGTCCAATAAGGCAAAATGTTAAATGTAACTCCAAAACCCATGATACCCCATGCTTGCTCGCATTAAGTATAAAATTTTGAAAACTTGGGTAAGCTACATCAGCAATACCAATTTACAGGCTTTATTTTCCGAAGCAGTAATGAAAATAATTTTATCTAAGATGACACATCGGGAGAGCTTCTCTGTCCAGCAAAATGAAAAAAGTTGCACAAAAGGATTCATTTTTGAAGATAGTTCTTCCTAACCTGGTACGGGGAAAGTTGGAACCATATTCACGTGTCACATACTTCCAACAAGTTTCAGATCAATCACTGTCTGATGTGAGAATGTGTGAAAAGCAATGTCCACAAACACTCTATACAAAGTCAGAGAGTAAACTGAAGAAAGATCCCCATCCCACCACCCTTACGCCCAAGAAAATGGAAAAGAAAACAAAGAACAAACAAAGTACCACAAAATCACTTGGATTCAACAATAACATGCCTACTTGGAAAAGGCCAATATGAATCAAGTCCAATGGCACATACAATTGTAATTAATTGATTTGCATTGTATTATAGAGGAAAAAACTAGGTGCAACCAGTAAAATCAATTAATAACAAGAAAGGTATCTTATGCTAGTCTCATAAGCAACTATTGGTTCATCCTCGTGACCTGTTGAACAGTGGTTGTCAATTCTTTCTTCATACGTGACACTGTATGAAATGTTTTGCAAGAAAATATTAAGTGAACATGGCCTGAACTACGTATTACACACACACAGACACACAAGAAATAATAGAAATATACCTTTCAAGAAATAATATAAAAACATATATAAATTTTAAAACTGAAGAGCTACATACAAATCTTAATCCAAATTATAATCTAGGATAAATAAACAAGTCCAAAGAAGAGACATACCTGCATCCTGAGAGCCAGGCAACGATGATAGACTCAAGCGTTCAGAGCACCCATGTACACTAACTGACCTTGCCATACAAGCCTCGATGCAAGCAGGAAAATTTCCCGGTCCCCCAGGGCCTGCACCACACTGAATTGTCAAACCATCCACTGCCATCACTCCAGCCGAAAATGGATAATCCGCTACTACATTCCCTCCTTCCAACATAGGTACTGCTGGGGAATACAATGAACAGTACGCAATCCCAGGAGGCCCAAGGGGCCCACTTTTAGACTTAGACTGCCTCTGCGGTTGCGGATATGAAGGCCTGAAAGCACCATCTCCTGAAACTGGACTGAAAATCCACCTCTCAGCATCTTCCCATTTGGAAGGCAGTGTCTTTCCATTATTGAAAGGCACCAATGCAGACCCCACATGCCTCCTATTACCATTTCTATGCAAAGGTACACGCTCTGAACTCCAACCTTTCTGAATCCCAATGTTCCCAAGCCCATAATTTGGCGTCCCAGGGCTCGGAAATATTCCTGTTCGGTGAGTCGTAACAGAGCTTTTCTTCATGATTCCAAACCGCGGAGAAGAACTGGTTGCAGTAAATATAGAGTTGTTGAAATCTAGAGAAGCAGGTCTTTGTCTGTCCACTCTCCTTAATAAAGCTTCAGATCTGACCCTCCGGTCTTGACATTCTGATGAAATACCCAGAAAAATAATAAAAATTAGAGCTTTGAATTACGCTCAGTTGGCTTGTACTACTGTTTATAATACCTTTGAGAGCTAGAGAGAAGGAATTTCTTGCAGAATCTGTGGTCAGATATCCGTCCTCTGTCTGAGACTCATTCTGGTCTTGTTTTTGAACTGCAAATTATTGATGGAAACATCAAGTTTGTGACTATGTGTGACTGAAATTTGAATTTTTTTTGGCAAGAACATCATCATATTTTATAAAGGAAGGGCCAAGTGATTTAACACGAAGAGGTGTAGTACCTTTTACTTTTTCCTTTCTCCTCAAGTGGTTATTCTTGTGTACTGTGGCTTTGTTTAGATCTAGATCTGGACCACTCGACGTCTCACGGTAATCATGTCCTGCCAAATGCTGGTTCAAATCATAGATTTTTAACTCTTCAATGTCGACAAGTTCCAAATTTAAGCAGTAGATTTGATGCTCGAAAATTCTCATAGCTATTACAAACCACCAATTTCTCCTCTGAAAGTCAGTTTCATCCTGTACTCGTTTTTTAAAAATATCAAGAAATTGATTTGATAACTTCGTTTCATTCAAGCATTATCAACTCATTCCACACATTACACAAGCAGGGATGCATAAGCTTTGTTATCGAAAAACATATGATAGACCAAAAAAAGCATGACAAAATAAATAAATATATATATATATATATACAAGCAGTTTAGTTCAAACAATTTGTTTACTTTTCGTCCAATTTGAGACCATGAACTTCTGCTTAGATACAGTTTTCTTCGCTCAACGATGCAGACACATTAATATGTAAACAAGAAGGGGCAGTGAAGAAACTGAATGAAAATAGACTGTAATTACCAGAGAGATTTCGGAGACCGGAGAGTCCTGATCATGAATATCAGAAGCAAAGGAGCAACGATCAACGCTACCAGAAGTAGAAGAGAAGCGACTGAAGTTAGACTCGACAGTGAAAATCACCGAGTCAGGACTACCATCTCGAGCCCTGAAGCTCGATCTCAACTGGTTCTGGTCTTCAAACCCTAGCTCCGTCATTCTCAGTTCCTTCTCACCACACTCTCAGTGCGTGTGTGAGTGAGAGAGAGAGAGGAGGCTGTACATGAAGCAGAATCCGAAATCTGGGCTCGTAATGGCGAGTGTTTAAGGGAGGAATTGTAGGGGCCTTTGTCATTAACTTTTGAGGGCAAGGTTGAAGAAGGGTGTAAATGATCATTAAATAGTACTCTACAATGGCATAGAGATGCGAAGAAAGAACAGAACAATACTTATGTTTTTGGACTTTTAGATGGGGATTGGGGTGGGGCAGGGAGGGGGTGCGTTTATTTAATCATGGTGTTGCGTTTGACAAAACACACAAAAGTAGGATTCTCTTCTTTCAACGTCTAGTCTTTCATTATCTTGACTGGAAATTTGACTGAAAAACTCTTGTAATCAACCTTGGGCCCTCCCTCCAGTTTCCAAATTTTTGTTTTTTGACCGGATTTTTTTTTTGTTTCTCGTGAAGAGGACCTTTTCTTATTTTTTCTAATTTAATAATAATAAAGAGAGGGGAGATCTATTTTTTAGTAATTAAAATAGTCTATTAATATCAATTAATTCATAGTTAACTTCTCAAGGATAACTATCCGCTCTCTTCTAACTAGGTGTCTCTCTAATATCAATATTCTCAATANGATTAATGTTAATCTCTCAACCACCTTAATGAACATCTAATCGCTCCACTTTTCTCTATTAATTACTCAACTGAATGGATACCTTGAAATTGGAGACCTTGAGGGGGTCACCAAATGCTGGGAGCTTAACGTTGTCTCTTTGTCGCCTGACTCTGGCNAAGGGTAAAATGAAAACACCCAAAGACCACCCCGATAAATTTTTATTAGTGAGATAATAAGGTCTCTGAGCGCACCCGTTACTCTCTTTGAAAACAAATCTATTTATGTTAGCATAACAGTCAACCACTGAAACCCAATATAAATTCTAAAACTTGAACCGATAATTTCAAGATAAGAAGTTCAGCCAATACTCCCACTAAATCACCACACTCGGTGGTGTAAAATAAAGAGTTTTAATCTTTGATAAAATAAGACAATATTAATATTTTAGTTAAATACAAAAAAATATATATATTAAATCTAATAACTATCCACTCTTCTTTAATAAAATTTAACACCTGTCCAACGACACGATAAAGATGGAAGTGCAAAATTTTCAAATAGCATGTGGTCCACAACTATGTGAAATTCTTGTCTAATATCTTCCCTAATAGGCAGTTGGTTTGTGGGACTGGCACAATAAATAGGCTGTCGTGCAAAGAGCTGGGCTCTCACGTTATGTCCAGCCAGCTGTAGCTGGACAGCCTAAACTCACGCCGGTCAAACCGGGTAGACTAGTGAAAATAACAGTAAAAAAACTGCAAAAAAGTTCATGTGCATGTGTAGTTGGTACGTGTTTGATCACAATTTCAATAACACAAAAAAAATTAGGATAAATTACACTCATGCTCTCTAATATTTAATTTTATTATATAGACACCCCCTCATGTTTGAAAATTTACATAAAACTTCCTCGACATTTAAACGTATAACAACCACACCCCCTATAACTAACAAACATAAGAATGGTTCACGGTCAAAACTAATGTCATCAATAATAATTTATAGAATATCAAAAATACCCTTCAAAATTATGTTTAAAAATTCAAATATTTGTTTTTCTTACCCCCAGAATTTATTCCATCTCTCATTTATCATTTCTCTATTTTATATGTCATAATCTATCAAATTAATAAGTTAAATACTAGATTTTTTTGTTTATTATATAATATATTAATGTAAATTCCATTTATCATTCAAATTTATTCCAAATCCACCATTACTATCATCATAGTTAACCACCCCCATCGTCACCTCCACACCACGGAAACCACCACCACCACCACCTCCTCCTCCTCCTTTCTCTCTCTCTCTATTGTCTCTATCCCTCTCTCACACACACATACTTTCAATCCTCAACTAGGGCTCCGAATCAATTCCCAGCAAAAGCCTTTCTAAACTGAAAAGAAGCCCCAAAATAATGGTCCTTACAAGACTTCAAGATCGAAAAACACAAATTTTTGGAAAGGAATTTGATTTCCATTTCTATGAAATTGAAAATTTTGGTTTCCTGTTACAAAGCAATTATATACTGGCATTGAAAGTGATATTCAAAGAGCAGATAGAGAAGTACAGGTTGCACCACCAGTTAAGGAGGGAGATGGAGATCCAGACCAGTCTTTGTCATCCCAAATGTTTTGAGACTCTTCAATTAATTTCATGATTCAGAGAGAATTTACCTAATTTTGGAGCATGCCCATGGTGGTGAGCTCTATAAAGAGCTTCGGAAAATCACCATCTCACAAAAAAACAAGCCGCCACTATAATCAACTCTCTCTCTACCTCTCTCTCTCTCTCTTCACACGCATACATAGACCACTGCCCCTTCCTAGTAGCAATGTAACCCCATCTCCGTTTTCATTTCTACAACCACACAACACACACCACCATAGTCCAGCAAAATCCCACCACATTATTTTCATCCACCTCCACTTCCACCTTCTCAACCACACAAACCCACCAACCACTGTTGTCAAAATTAAACCCCAAAAATCATTGTTATCATTTTGATTTCTCATATTTTTAAGCTTTAGATTCTTTCGATTTCTCTCTCTTTCTCGACATTCTGTGCTTGGGTGGGTTAACATTTTGGATGGGGGTGGCTACTAAAGGGTGTTGCAGTGATGGGGGAGGGTTGGCAATTTTTCTCAATTCTTCAGCGATTTTTGGCTGGTATATATATATACACACACACACATAAAAGGGAGTGAGGGAGAGAGAGAAGACCAATGATTTCGAGTTGGTTCTTCGACTTAAGAGAAAGAGAGAGCAAGTGCAAGAGAGTCTTGAGAGCATTGTGTAAGTGAGGGTGAAGATTAGGGTTTGGGGTTAGGGATAGGGCTCGAGGTTTAGATTCAGTTTGTGTTAAATAAAGGGGTAAAATAATATTTTTATTAAGATAGTTAACTCCGTCTAACTATTGGGGTCTCAGTGTAATTTTTGAAACATGAGAGGTGTATGTGTAATAAAATCAATTATTGGGGGTGTAAGTGTAATTTAATCAAAAAAATTAAGTTACCGCACCTCTTATTTTTAACTAATCAAAATATGATACATATAAATTTTTATATTTTGCTATATTGTTTTTTAAGATCTACAACCGCAAATAAATCAACACAACATTTATGGTTAAATTTCATTTTTCGATATGATATGAAAAATTCTTTTGAGCAACATTGTTATTTTTAAATAATCTGCAGCGTTCAGGTGATGATGGTCTGTCTCTTCTGGAAAATGTCAGTACACAATTGCCAGGGCACCTGAATTTTATGCTTTTCAGTTTTCACTGAGGCTCATAAGAACACACGGGTTTGTCAACCTTTTTCGTATCGACATTGATTACATTTATAATTAGTTCGAGGGAGAATTTTTCATTTAATCCCTCGGAATCTTATTTTTTGAAATATTATATATAAATGTCTTCAAATTTATACGCATATAATATTTAAATTTTTATCGTAAAATATTTATTATTATATTTATTAATAAATTACACTCAAATTCTTTAAATTTAAAATATTATATTTAGACAAAAAAAACTCTAATTAAAGATAAAATATCAAATATTTTAAATTTTATAATCAAAATTCATGTTATATTGTATCATTTATTGAAATAAAATTAAAAATAAAAAATTAATTTTTTTAAAAAAATCGTAATTAAAATACAATTATACTATCTATTTGAATAAAACTAAAAAAATCAAATAAGAGATCTAAATCCTTCATAATAGAACATGAATTTAGAAATCAAAATTCATATTCTAATATATCATTTATTTAAATAAAAACAAAAATAAAAATCATAATTAATATATAATTATACTATTTATTGGAATACAACTAAAAAAATTAAACAAGAGGTCAAACTATAATGAACTCAATATATTTTAACTATAATTGAGGTAATTTGGTAGTTTTAATTTGATTGTTTAAACAACCAAATTAAATTCCAATATATAATATAATTGTATATTAATTATGATTTTTTAAGAAAAAATTTAATTTTTAATTTTAATTTTATTTCAATAAATGTCATAATAAAACATGAATTTTGATTGTAAAATTTAAAATATCTGATATTCTATTTTTAATTAAAATATTTTTTATCAAAGTATAACATTTTAAATTTAAGGAGTATAAATATTACACGTTTATAAACTTCAAAGGGTTTGAATGTAATTTATTAACAGATATACTAATGGACATTGATGACAGGGGTATAAGTGTTATATGTGTACGAACTTCAATAAATTTGTGTAATATTTCAAATGTCGTGAATCACAGTAATTAAGTGATAAACTTTAAAGAATTTGAGTATAATTCTCTCTTATTTTAATCATAGTTGTGATAATTATTTTTATTATTATTTTTATATTACAATAGTAATAAAAATAATCATACTAGTAATAAAAATAATCATAAATATGATAAATAACTCATAAAAATGATATTTTTTGTACCAAAAATCANGTGATGGGGGAGGGTTGGCAATTTTTCTCAATTCTTCAGCGATTTTTGGCTGGTATATATATATACACACACACACATAAAAGGGAGTGAGGGAGAGAGAGAAGACCAATGATTTCGAGTTGGTTCTTCGACTTAAGAGAAAGAGAGAGCAAGTGCAAGAGAGTCTTGAGAGCATTGTGTAAGTGAGGGTGAAGATTAGGGTTTGGGGTTAGGGATAGGGCTCGAGGTTTAGATTCAANGACTTAAGAGAAAGAGAGAGCAAGTGCAAGAGAGTCTTGAGAGCATTGTGTAAGTGACGGTGAAGATTAGGGTTTGGGGTTAGGGATAGGGCTCGAGGTTTAGATTCAATTTGTGTTAAATAAAGGGGTAAAATAATATTTTTATTAAGATAGTTAACTCCGTCTAACTATTGGGGTCTCAGTGTAATTTTTGAAACATGAGAGGTGTATGTGTAATAAAATCAATTATTGGGGGTGTAAGTGTAATTTAATCAAAAAAATTAAGTTACCGCACCTCTTATTTTTAACTAATCAAAATATGATACATATAAATTTTTATATTTTGCTATATTGTTTTTTAAGATCTACAACCGCAAATAAATCAACACAACATTTATGGTTAAATTTCATTTTTCGATATGATATGAAAAATTCTTTTGAGCAACATTGTTATTTTTAAATAATCTGCAGCGTTCAGGTGATGATGGTCTGTCTCTTCTGGAAAATGTCAGTACACAATTGCCAGGGCACCTGAATTTTATGCTTTTCAGTTTTCACTGAGGCTCATAAGAACACACGGGTTTGTCAACCTTTTTCGTATCGACATTGATTACATTTATAATTAGTTCGAGGGAGAATTTTTCATTTAATCCCTCGGAATCTTATTTTTTGAAATATTATATATAAATGTCTTCAAATTTATACGCATATAATATTTAAATTTTTATCGTAAAATATTTATTATTATATTTATTAATAAATTACACTCAAATTCTTTAAATTTAAAATATTATATTTAGACAAAAAAAACTCTAATTAAAGATAAAATATCAAATATTTTAAATTTTATAATCAAAATTCATGTTATATTGTATCATTTATTGAAATAAAATTAAAAATAAAAAATTAATTTTTTTAAAAAAATCGTAATTAAAATACAATTATACTATCTATTTGACGACAGAGGTATAAGTGTTATATGTGTNATTTGTGTTAAATAAAGGGGTAAAATAATATTTTTATTAAGATAGTTAACTCCGTCTAACTATTGGGGTCTCAGTGTAATTTTTGAAACATGAGAGGTGTATGTGTAATAAAATCAATTATTGGGGGTGTAAGTGTAATTTAATCAAAAAAATTAAGTTACCGCACCTCTTATTTTTAACTAATCAAAATATGATACATATAAATTTTTATATTTTGCTATATTGTTTTTTAAGATCTACAACCGCAAATAAATCAACACAACATTTATGGTTAAATTTCATTTTTCGATATGATATGAAAAATTCTTTTGAGCAACATTGTTATTTTTAAATAATCTGCAGCGTTCAGGTGATGATGGTCTGTCTCTTCTGGAAAATGTCAGTACACAATTGCCAGGGCACCTGAATTTTATGCTTTTCAGTTTTCACTGAGGCTCATAAGAACACACGGGTTTGTCAACCTTTTTCGTATCGACATTGATTACATTTATAATTAGTTCGAGGGAGAATTTTTCATTTAATCCCTCGGAATCTTATTTTTTGAAATATTATATATAAATGTCTTCAAATTTATACGCATATAATATTTAAATTTTTATCGTAAAATATTTATTATTATATTTATTAATAAATTACACTCAAATTCTTTAAATTTAAAATATTATATTTAGACAAAAAATACTCTAATTAAAGATAAAATATCAAATATTTTAAATTTTATAATCAAAATTCATGTTATATTGTATCATTTATTGAAATAAAATTAAAAATAAAAAATTAATTTTTTTAAAAAAATCGTAATTAAAATACAATTATACTATCTATTTGACGACAGAGGTATAAGTGTTATATGTGTACGAACTTCAATAAATTTGTGTGTAATATTTCAAATGTCGTGAATTACAGTAATTAAGTGATAAACTTTAAAAAATTTGAGTATAATTCTCTCTTATTTTAATCATAGTTGTGATAATTATTTTTATTATTATTTTTATATTACAATAGTAATAAAAATAATCATAAATATGATAAATAACTCATAAAAATGATATTTTTTGTACCAAAAATCATGGCAAATAATTACTAACACATTAGTGAAAATATCCACAAAAATAATAAATTATCCAAAAAAAATAATAAATTTTTTAGTTATAAATAGCTCACAAAAAATTATAAAAACACCCATTAAAATAATAAATTTTACAGGTACTATCGATTTTTTTTAGGTACCGTAGTAGTCAAGTCCAGAGAGAGAGAGAAAGCACAAGTATTTATATCTAAACAAAGATGAATAATGAACGAAAATTCTTCCATATTGTTTAGTTCTCATTATTTTTTTTTCCTTTTACATCACAAGCCGAATACGGCAACACAAGATTATGGATGTGTTTTTTTCACAAGCACATAATTATATGTCATCCATCTTATGTTTTGCCTTCCGTCCTACCTACGCGCAAAAGAATTCCCAAGTTCAGAGAAACTGTAATAACTAATCTACAGCAAAATACAACTATCATCTTTTCGATCTACACAAACAGGTTTTTCTTTTAATATATACAGCGCAACCTACATCCAGGTAATTAAATACAAACCATCAAGGTACAACGACAACGCCATTCACCATGGACCAGTCTGTGTTCGTCTCAAGCACCGCCTCTTAACTCCCCGCTGCAGGTTCATCATCTCCAGAACCTAACATCACCAAATGCAAGTATGCAACACAAAAAATTAACCCAACAAGCCTCTTCAGAAAATAATCCCATCCCTTTACTACATAAATTAATCTTTCAGATTGACATCGAAGTTCATATCTGAATTGAGACTCAGGCAAGCAACCCACTAATATGAAATCTTGCAAGGCTCAAGAATTTTGTGAATTGATAGGGGAGCATGTAACAATATTGTTATATTACTCTATAGTAGCGTCCTTCAATATCCAAAGAAACATGAATAATACTTATGGGCATGCATTAGAAGAAAAAAGGAACAAGTAGCAGTGTGTGCACCAGACAGTGGCTGCTTGCCATCAGCAATGTTTTTTGTTCCTCGGACAGAAAGAAAGAAAGAAATAATGAAAAAATGAATACATAGTATAGTATTCCATTTGCTTTAAGTCTGAAAAATATACTTTCAATTGTGGAAAATTAATCGAGCTGAAAGCAAAAATGAAGAAGAATAAGGAGCAGGATACTATGTAAAAACTAGATGTGTTTGTTGACTAGCCATGGAAAGCATTCACAGCTGCTTAGCAAGGTACTAAAATGGTTATATCTATAGTGCAAATAAATTCTTAACAATTCCAGAAGGAAAATTCGAGTACCTGATTCTTCTGCAGTTCCATAATTTCTGCCTGCAGCAATAACAGTCCAATCAATGATGGCTTGCCACAGTCAAAACTTTCACCTTTAAGAATAAAACATAATATGGACAATATATCAGCAATGTACCTGCTTCTTCCGCAACTCTTCATTTTCCTCTTTCAGTTTTGCAACTTCTGCTTCCAATTCCATTGTATAAGCCTAGAAAAAGTTAAAAAGGGTAACTATAAAATGTCCAACACATGCCAGACAAGAAATTCTTGAAAGCATTCCTAAAATAAAATATGACTGTTTCTGGGTCCCTTGTATCATATTGTATTTCTGAAACTAGTGTCAAATGGTATAAGCTTAATCAATGTACACACTGATTTTAAGACGGTACAATTCAAATTCTTTTGTTGCTTAAAGCATACATACCATTACCCTGTAGTAGACATTATCCTTAAAACTTCTCATGGCAACTAACTTCTTATAAGCTTTCATCATTGGTCATGTCAGATTACTATCCCATTACCATTCTGTTGAATGTGATATCCAGTCCTGTGAAGTTCTGGAATGAGATATACTCATCGATGGCAAATGAGGGGTTATAATGAGAATCAAAAGTCATAAAGCAAGACGGCATAAGTTTTCATTTGTTTGTTTTCGTATTTCATGAGTATCTTTTACAAAAATATCTTTTTCTTTATTTTTCTGTATCTTTACAAATGCAGATTTAGGAAGCAATCTTGAGATGGACCAGTCAGATAACAATGGCTGCTACCACAAATCACACCTAAAATGACATATTTTCCCTCTATTGTACTNATTTTTCTGTATCTTTACAAATGCAGATTTAGGAAGCAATCTTGAGATGGACCAGTCTGATAACAATGGCTGCTACCACAAATCACACCTAAAATGACATATTTTCCCTCTATTGTACAGAAGGTGCATTTGGAGCAAAAGATTTTGATGGTCAAGAGATTTGGATCATTAATTTATCAAAAGATAAACTAAAACCTATCAGAAGTATAAATTATAAATCATGGCATTACAAAAGGCAATAAGGCTAGAAATACCTCACCACTGCATTTTACAACTCTGTTGTTTGTTCTTTTCCTTGACTATAAGTGTTTACTTGTATGTCACTTGAAACCTACTTTATTTAACAACCGGAACCCTATAACTTTCATTTTTCAGATTTTTTTTGGGACTGTAAACACTATTTTGCTTAAAGCTATATCTATTTTAGTAAAATAACTAAACAAAGATTCAAGTTGAAACATAAGCTTATGGGTTGTTTTCCAATAATATTAAGTTCTATGGTAGTAGAAATGGTATTTCAAGAAACAGAGAGTTATAAAGAATCCTTGACAAGACAATATCCCAGTGCTGGATGATGCCGTTAAACTGGATATTGGGTTGAGACCACAGACATAGGTAAGATTAATGAAAATTCTGAAAATCAAATTTAAGAAGCGGTTGATACACAGTAGCTAGCTCTAGCTCGCACAGAATGACTAATGGAACAAACAGCTCAGAGTCTACATGGAACACAAATGGATGCCCCATGGAACTCAAACAACTTCCTTGCGATTCACATTTTCATTGAACTTACTGTTAGTGTCAAAGGCAACACGGGTAATTCCCATAACTGACACATGGCACAAGTAGATGCTACTGTCAACATCCATAAAGTTTTTTTTTTTTTC